ACCTTATTTTTAATCTTTCAATCTTTTTTAACCTAAGGAACCAGGTTTTCCTCAGCATCTCGAGTATTAGTGATAATTTCAAAAATCGACATTTCTAAAATACCACCCAGAGAACATTTCCTTTCATAAAAGTTGCTATACTTGATCGGAGTAAGCTTTCTTATAGAAAAAGTGTTCACAAAAAAAAAAAAAAAAGGCATCATTGTAAAACCAATATATTCCTCGCTCCCCTCAGAATCTAAAATAAAAATAATTACGTAAAATTTTTTTGTACGAAACCAGAATTCAACTACGAGTTCTGTATAATGAAGGATATTCATGTAGTTAATTTTTTTGATTCGTGTTTTATGAATGCTGCAGCTAGTATGAGAATCCCGAAATGTGATTCTAAAATACCACTATAGTACTTATAACGTTAAAGTTAAATGTCCGTTAAAGTTTTTTAATTTAAAAGTTATGTTCAAAATATCAAACTGCCGTTTGGTACTTTCCTGTTTTATCGTACACAATGGTATACATTATGAAATTCAAGATTACATGAAATTATATGTCGTAATACTTTTTTTAGTACTTGTTCATATTGTATTTTTTCATGGGTACTATACAGCGTATAATTTTAAAATAAACATTAGAGGTTTAAAAAAAAAAATAAAAATCTTTTACCGCGAGCAATTATTGTATTGATTGGCACTCGCCTTGCTTTTGTTATTGGTCAATATTTTCATTATTAACGAAAACAAAAAAAAAAATACTTTTTAATGAGTTTCAATTTCAATTTTAAGCTTTTATTATTATTATAATTGTTTTCGAAAATCATTTTTATATATACTTCGGAAGAATCGCACAATTGCTCTTCAAAAGTGTTAAAGGTTATTGTGTTTGATTTTTAATAAAAAGTATCTTTAATGGTGTGCATTTTAAATAATTAAAAATTTGATTTATGTTCTTTTCTTTTTTCAATCATTTATAAATCGTTTAAGCTTTACTTTTATATTATTTTCATTTTTTACTCCGTATATTATATCTTCAATGATTACAGACTACACACTACACAGATATTTCCGTTGTAGGGGAGGTCAACTATCTGCAAATGTATATACATTTTACTAACCTTTTTTTTTTTTTTTTTTAATTTTCTGGTCTAATTGTTTAACTGTAATAATTCATAAATGATAAATTCGATATTCTAATGTTATGCAAATCAACGTTTTTAATCTTTTTTCGAATCTGCGTTAAAAATGAATTAGTGGCTATTTGAAAGTCGAAAGTTTATGCTCATTTAAGGATGGAGCGTCCATCCAATGATATAAGTGTTGCTTCAAGTAACACATACAAAATATGGTTGGTAGGTAGGTCGTAGATGTGTCGGTCGGTAATATGATTTGGTGTTACTTTATTAAGTTTGCTACATATTATGACGTGGTTGATTTTCTTTTCCTCCAGTTTTAATGTTTTCTAGTTTCCTGATAAATATCACTTCTAGTCAATTTAACGAAACTGGTTGGGCAGGCCATCAGAAATATTCTCAGAAAAACATATTTCTGTAAGGATGCCGCCACTGATTTAAGGTATACAATTTGAAAACAGCGAACAAGTATAGCTTAAATAACGATTACGTGGATTGAAAAAACAAAAACCAAACGGACTTAAAATCCAATGAGATATTTTCTGGATCGCGATAAAAGCGAATCACTCCGTATGGCAGCAGGTCACATCCCCGTCGCCGTTTCCCCGCCGGACATTCCCCGTCCGAATAAATTCCCGTAGAACGTTTCTCCGTCCAATTAACCTCAAACCTATTTTTTTTTTCTTGGACTTAAACTTTTTTAATTAGTACTTTTACGTATTCTAAGGTCATGATAAATAACTGAGACTTGGAAATAAAAAAAAAATAATAAATACAACATTAAAAAATAAAATTATAATAAAAAACTTAATACGCAAGACCGAATAAGATTATCAGCGGACAAATAAATCATTAAGAGAACGATGGTGGTCAAAAGACTGGTATACACTGGTATGTAACAACTCCACTGCTTTTATCTAAATTATTTTGGTATTGTTATAGATAATATGTTTTCGAATAGGCCAAGTCCAGCTAAATCGGCCGTGACTCACTAATACAATGATACGAACAGATAAGAAATATTTTTATTTTAGTTTAAGAAAAAAAAAAAAATGTACGGATTTACTAACCTTATAATAATTACACCTATATTATACGATTTATTAAAAATCACTTATTTATTGTTTTCGGGTTTAAAGTTAATTGGACGGGGATATGTCCGACGGGAAAACGGCGACGGGGATGTGACCATGAACCTGCCGTATATGGTCGTGAACAAAAACGAAAATCGAATTTCACAGTTCGGATCAAAGGCGCTCGTTTTACGCAATTCGTCTCTGAATATCAGACCGGGACAGCTTATATTATAATAAATATATTTGTGTATACATGTGTATATTATGCATCCGAACACATAAAGTTATATCGTATTTGAAAAATTATTATTTCAAGTAAACCGCAAAATTTAAATTTCAACGCCGTTATTATATTATAGCCTGTATATTTTTTTCGTGTTTTTTTTTTCTCGATATATTATATACAATAACGCTATACCATAATATATAAGATTATAATAATATAATGTATAGACATTTTGAAAAATGACCTGTCTAGAGTACTTCGCGTTAGATTTTCTGTAATATATAATATTACAGCCGTATAAATTGATGTAGCAGCGATATTCCCGCGTGGAAAATGTGTTGCATATTTACTGTTCTGGTGCAGTGAGAAAAAATGTTTTTCCTGAAAAAACGTACACATACACGTTTTTGTAAAGTCAATAATAGTTTCTGCCTATATCCGCAGGGAGTAAATCGAATCATCTACAGCAAATACGGAAGTCGTACGGAATCCAGATAACCGGAAAAAACAACGAAAATACCGCCGTTTGAAGCCGAATAATTCACGCGCAATTTCTAAACGCGTAATTAATTCTATCCGTCTGAAACGAGACGTTTAAAAATAACGCAAATCACATTAGTTTTCGCATGAAAATCGAATACCCAAAATGTGTCGAACCGCCAGACTTCTAGCGACGACGAATGACAAAATTGTAACGTCTATGATGAGTGCGGGCCGTGCATGCGGAGATAAATCGCGAATAACAGGCGAGATGTTTACGAAATCGAAAAAAAAAAAAAAAAAAATTTCAATCAATAAAAATGCGAATTCGCCGTCCGTATGACATCGCGGTGTTGAGTTATTGTCGGCGTTACCGCCGTGTCACCGTAACACACCTGCAATTTCAATCCTTAACCGAGGCGCGCGTCCGAAAACGATAATAAAATACGGCTTCAGATAATATTGTCGTAGATCACGCGAACGTTCGCCACGTGCCAAATACGGCAGAGGGTCAACAAGCGATAGCGCGGAGAATCGAATGGAAGAAAAACACCCGTAATGTTAAAAAATCTCCGTGGGTCGGACCGGTAACGGCCGGACTTTTACGTTTGTACGCGGCGATAACGCGCGCGAAATTCGGACAGGACAATACCGCGGTCCGCGCGCGATTCCCGTGGGTTCGTCCTGTAACGACGGCGACAGAGGTATAGCGCGCGAATCGTTCGTTTTTCTCGCGGCGGGGTGTCCGCCGCGCGTTTCTCCGTCGAATCGTGCGCGTTCGGCCACGTTTATCCTCGAACCGCTGCTGCCTGCGTCTTCGGTTTCCGCGGCGAAAACTGCCGGAACGTCTGACCGACCCCCCCCCACGGTTTATCCGGGGATGTTTTACCGGCGGGCCATTCGGATACCGGCCCGTCCCGGCCGCGGGCTCTGCGCCGGCGTTCCCCGTTCCCGCGACGTACCCCGTTTTCCCCGTCTTGCGGCACCTCGCCGCGGTCCGCCCGCCGCGCATTGCGCACGCGCGTCCGTCCCGTCGGTCGCGATGTCGTTGTTATCAATCGCGGCGTCAAGAAGAAGCGACGTCCGTGACCCCCGGACCGCGGCGCACGCCGCTTTACTATTGCCCGCCGCCCGCGTTCCAGGTGCCGTTCCGCGACCGTTTTCCGACCGGCTTCGACATCGCACACGTGCGTACCATTACACGCCCGCGCGCGCGCTACAAGCGTATTGTCCTGTAACTACGCGCGCGACGCCGATTAGCGCCCGGTCGCGTTGTTCACACGAAACGTTTTCTGAGTTTCTACGAACGCGGCCGCGATAAACGGAGGACGCGGATCCTTTCGGGCGGTTTTTCGTCTTCGTTTTTTTTCGAAAATTACGCGTATCGTTACGTCGCCGACAACCGTGGCTAGAGAAAAGCGGGAGAAACGTCGTCGGGTCGGGTCGCGCGCGTTACCGCGGTTCCGAGCCGCGTCCGCGGGACCGGTATCGCCGGAATTACGTCCGCGCGTTCGACCGCGATAGACTTGTAAATGCTTATCCGTCTATCGCTATCGACACCGAATCGCGGGTCGGTAAACATCGCGGCATTACAGTTTATTGCCGTTCCTTTGTTTCGTTCTTCGTTGTTCGCGCGACAAATCTAAAAACTAAAAAACCACCGAGTTTTAAGTGACGTAGGACGAGAGAATAATCACGTGGTCCGTGTTCTACGTATCGTATTTGTATGAAGGGAGCGAAATTAAAGAATTTACACACCGAGTGTAGTCCCGAGATCCCAAAGCATTGAGTAATATTCGATTATCGGTCTGACAAGAGTGCGGTAAAGGCCTTTTATAAAATAAGATAAATTGAAATCTATGGAGATGGATATAGCGTGCGGCAGTCTTTTTTTTGGGGGGAGACAAAGAGAGAGAGAGAGAGAGAGAGAGAGAGAGAGAGAGCAGACGATATGCACATGCCTTTTTTTTAAGGTAATGTCACTAACATTTTTATAATGTTTTATTATTTTTATCGATAGTATTATTGATAATGTAATACGTGTTTTTTTAAGACAATTTTATGTTACGGTAAAAAATGAAACCAAACATAATTATTTTTCTTGCGTTTCTTCTTCTCGTCTCTTAGCTCGTCTCTTGTAGTTTGGTGAACTGCGAACTGGAATTTCAGTAATCACAACATCACCATCACGAACAATTTTTAATTTTTCGGATATTTCTTTTCATTAAAATGCACAAATATTAAAATTATAAATGCCAATAATCATCATATAATAAGTCAACTATTAATTTATTGACATCGAGTCTTATAATCCGTAATATACTTTAAAATATACTCCTTATCAATAAAATTATAGCACCTTAGAACGTCATTTTTTTAAAAAAAATAAATTCCCTTCTGATAAGGTCAAAATATGACCTATTCAATTGTATATTGCTGTACACGCGCGCAATTTGATTATTTTCCGTCTGCGCCCGACGGCCCGTCCTTAACCGAAGAAACGTAATTCAATAATAGTCTGAAAAAACGTCCATTTTATACTTTCAAATATAGTTTATAGGTTGGGAAACAAATCCACGAAACACAAGAAATAACGAAATGCTAAGTCTCCCTGACCAACACAGATGTGTAAATAGTAATATTTAATCGATCGATATAATAAATCGTTTCGTGGGCGTCGACCAACAGACGGAATTAGAAAGTTCAATCACAGTAGGTCCGATTGGCTAAGTGATTTTATGTCGGGCAGAAAAACAACAACACCAGAACGGTATAATATTAAAAATGTATTCTTAAGCGTAGGTATAAACGAATACAATTACACAATTTGCATTAGTCAGAAGACCTTTAATTGCATTTAAATTGCATTTAGGAAGTTATATTTTAATACGTAGTTTTTTTTTTCTTTTTAAGTGTCTTAACTTACTATAAATCGTCTCATTGAAATCATGCGAAATATAGGTAACAGTTTTAAATTTATATTGGAGGAGTAGAGCAGAGTAATAAATGTCATATTAAACTGTTTATGCTCACGAGTTTTAGAAATGCCCTGAAAACTGTCGAAAAATGGTTTGGTAAATGTCAAAATTCTTAAATGCCTTTTAAGAAAATTTTAAATTTTTCTTGAAAAAATGGAAAATGGAAAATTTTAATTTAGAAGTAAATATCTGTTACGCGAGCCGACTGAAAATGGCTTTTGCATTGAAATCTGGGCCCTAACTATCACACATCTCTGCTCTGCTTCTCCGGTCTAAATTTCAAATCGTTGTAACTGGTAAATTATATACCCTGTATTAGTGTTATGAATGTGAACATTTTTCAGAAAAATTTGCGATTTCTTTTCGAACTTGGGTTAAACAAATAATAGTAGATTTTTTTTTTAACTCAAAGTCGATATTACGTGATTATTACGTGCGGTAAAACGATAACGTTTTGAACATATTATTTTCGTAAATAATTTAAACACTTGGATTATTTTATTCCGCGGGCATTCCGGGATCGCGACGTTGTTCCGACAACCAAGTAGGCCGACAGGATATCGGGTCGACAGGGCATGTATTATGACTGTGAATTTATTCCCTGTACATTTTTACTTGTTAACATTAAATTATTTAAAAATCGAAAATTATTATACAATAAAATACAACAAAATCTACAACGGTGGCGCAAACACGTCACTGATTCAATATAATATCGGAAAACGCGAATGTCTAATACCGGTACGATATCCAATCGCGGAAAGTCGCTTTGATTAACATCGATATTGTTTAGGACGCCCGCGGATACGTAAATATAAAATACGGCATATCGTTTCTCGTTATCGCGATAATAATATCAAACGTCAGCGCTTCGGTCGCTTCGGCCCGTCGGCCACTTCAATAATTCTCGGCTCACCGTTCTAGTCCCGGAAATCGTACACCGGAAACCGCGCACGTGTGTAGCGCACAATGCGGTAATGATTTGGATCGGGCGGCGATCAATTGCGGCCCGCGATCGTTTCGCAATCGGTCCGCCGGAGTAAATTTTCGGCGTGGAATTGAAAAAAGAAAATATAATTTCGAATTTCGAAGAGTTTACACACTCGCGTCAAAAAAATATGCTTATACCATACGTTTTTTTCTCATTTATAACAATCGATCACGTAACGAATAATTCGATTTGTCAACTATGCTAAGATGTACGCACATTAAAGTAGGCGCTTAAAAGTTAAAGTTTAACTTGTTTGGTTTTTTCGGCGGGACAAGAGTTTTTTTTTTTGTAGCCCTTTGGTGAAAAAATCTCTGTCACACCGACCTACATGATAATGACGTTATTACACAACTGCGGTGATCTCGAGTCTTTCGACGCGAACGTTTCGGCTCTGATTATTGACGTTGTCACTATAACGTGAACGGTTAAGACAAAGGTCGATAAGCTGTCCTGTAGTTTCCCCGCGTAAACGTTGATAAGGTTTGCGTGGATTCTTCAGAATTTCGTAATCATAGGGAACAAAAGTTTTTTTTTTTCTTATTTCCCGCGAACACGGATAACGTTACGCAAACAGAATACGCCCGCAGCAACTACACGACTATACATACTAACACGACCCTTCGTTTCGCCTCTTACCGACATTTGGCGAGTCGCCGTTATCAACGCGCGCGGACACCGACAATCATTGCCGTGAACGGTTTTGGAACACCGTTACAGGAAATCGTTACAGTGTCATGAGACTTTTACCACCGATTTATGACGACAACGGGACGTGGGTAAACATCGCCAGACGACACTATCGCCGGCTGTAACACGCGATCCGTAACCGTCCTTTAGTCATACCGAGAGTTGTATAATCGCCCGAATTCCGTATTTACATTAATTTCCGTTGAACGCAAACGATTGCGTTCTTTTTTTTTTTTTTTTTAAAGTTTTCAACGTTTGATTTTTTTTTACGCGACCGTCAATACGCGTAAAAGCGAATTAAATTGAACGTAAATGTATTACTGAACAACGTCCCGAATTTACTCATACCCCCCGTATGCGGGCTCGGTGACGCACTAGAAGGGGACGAACTGAGCCTGTACCAACACGCGCCTGATGGATCGAGAGTTGTGTCGCATAACGTCACGGGGTGTGTTTCCGTTAACCGCCTTTGAATTCTCCTTCGGTTCGGCGCTTCACGCGTCGTGGGATCCCGCGGCTTGGATCCGGAGATTATCTCGGATAATACCCAACCGACGGGTACGCGCGTAAACGTCTGAACACCGGGTTGCTTGCGTTCGGCAATTATTTCTTCAGAATAATAATCGATTGCCAATTATCATGGGAAACCTCAGAGCCGAGAGTTTCTTCTACGAATTTCGGTGTTTACTGAGGTCGGACCGGTTTACGGCACCCGATGTACGTGTTCTTGTACTGTTTGTATAACGCTTACTCGTTGGCTGGTCGTGGTCGGTGTCATAGCTTTCATTTTTTTTGTTTTTTTTTTTTCTTATTGATAATCGATATTTTCAAAAAGTCAAAAACGGTATAATAATAATAATGATATTATATTGATAATTTTTTCCCCAATTTTTGGAAGAAAAATCACGGAAAATATAATGAACATCATTATAGAACCAATAAATTCCTCGATCCACTCAGAATCTAAAATTTAGAAAACGCGAAATTCCAACCAACTGCACTTTAAACAAGCGTTAAAACAATTCATACGATAAAAAATCGTTGTGCTGATTATTAGTGTTATCGGTGTTATCACTGTATTAAATATTCAATCCATAAAAGCCGTGACACTGTTTTACCAGTGAGTAGATTTTATGATGATTTTTGTTTACAAAGAAAAATATGAACTCCGAAAAAATTATTTAAATTTTGATAAACACGGCTCGCCGAATATAAACAGTAAATTAAAAATTTATAAAATACGAACGTTCCGTATAATTTGTTTATTTAGCATTATTTATTTAATAGATTCTGTTTTTTATTCATTTATTCTCTTTCGCGTTCATAATTTTTGTTTTTTCCTTTTTTTATTTTTTTTTTTTTTTGTAATTACAAATATATTTTCGATTATCTTATTGTGTTCTTTAATTTTTCATACGCCATTTGAAACGATTTAATAATATATTTATCAACTATCTTTCTGGAACCGTCGAAAAATTACGATTCCAAAGAAATAAATTGAAAACAAAATTCGATTTAAACGGAAACAATAAAAAATGTTCAATAATATGCTGTTAATTTTCGTTTCTATTACATTTGTTAGTCTTCCCCTTTTTCGTTATGATATTTATCGTACAGGATATTCTACTATTTATCATGCCCAAAATTACGATTTCCATGAATAATGACGACAAGTACAAAGATAAAATTCGAAATTTTACCAAGTAGAAGAAAGCTGTTCTTAACTTTCGTTTTAATTGTACGTAACTTATTTTTCCAGCGAAAATAGTTATAATTTATAAATGGTGATATTTTTTTTTAAACCCAATTTTAATAGTCAACAAAAACAGTTATTAAAGAAAACAAATGTATTTTTTAAAAACATTATTATTCAAATTAGAGTTAGTTTAGAAATTTATTCTCCTGAACATGTGTAAAAAGTGAGTTAGTACAGTATATTCGCTTTGGGAAACGGCACGTTATAGTTTCTCGCCTCTTTACGTAAATAGTAAAACTTTTCGTACGTGTTTACTGTCCCAAAATATGCAGTTAACCTCGAAAAACTCTAGTAAATTATTTATTTAAATTTTAAACTTCTTATCGTGGTTACCCTTAGCTTGGGTAGTTTTTTGTAGTTTTCTATGCTTGTATTGTATCTCGAATTTTAAACAATTTAATTTACACGGGTCACAGGTACTCACAGTGCTCGTGAACTTTTAAAAGAAAAAAAAACTCGTTTTCAAGTTTATTTAATGACAATTTTAAAAACAACCGGAAAATACACTCACATATTATGTTCTTAATCGGTTAATATTTTAGTATTTTATAAGAGAAAAAAAAACTTAAACCAGGCATTATTTTTAAAAATAAAAATATTAGTTTTAAAACTTAAATGATTAAAATTTACTCGTTTTTAAATTATAAAAGATTTCAATTAAAAAGAAATATAAGTAAATTTTATTTTTAGATATTCTGCCGCAATTAAGTTGTTACGTTTTATATAGTAAATATTCGTCTCCTCTATTTTCAGTAATGGTGACAAATACGTATGTAAAAAATTGCATTATATTCTCTGCCCACGTTCGAATAAATGGATTCTTGACGGATTTTCGAGAGGAAGAAAAAACAAATTAAAACACTATAAAAATTATTATAATATATTATAATTTAAATAATATTTTATGTAGTTGCCAAAACGAGTACTTATACATTTTTAATACTCTATTTAATATGCATGTTTGCATAATTAAAAACCCCGTAAAGAGTTAAAATCTGCGAATTTAACGACGACGGTCTTCTTTCATTTATTTGGGCTAAAATGACTCACGACACTCGTGTTATGGGCGAGTCACTGAGGTGGGTGTGTTAATTTATTTCTATTCCTGTAGATTTCTACTATCGGTCACGTTATAATACAAAACGAGTTTGATCGGAGTTCGATTTATGACAAATATATATAAGTATAGAATTGGCGTGTATAAAGATCATGTAACACTTCAGTTGGTTTCTGGGTGACCTTGGCTGCGGGTGACCTTATCCGCTCAGAATCGTTTTATTGATTTATCGTTGCTTTTAATATACAAAATAAATAACCTTACATCCCATATAACTTTTTGTAAACTTTACTTCTACTACGTTATAACTAACCCAAGATGCGAATTACATCCAGCTAGCCTTTTCTTTTGTATTTATTCATAGGCACCTCTAATCAATTCAAAGTTAATCTATAATACTCGTAAAAAACCAATTTGTGTAATAGAAATTCGCCATTATCGATGCCTTTTTACTTGTTCTTTTTTAGATGTGGGTGTAAGGCGAGGAATGTATTGGAATATGACTTGAACGCATATTTTGTATTTTTCTTTTGTTTGTGTTTGTATAATAAACAAATTATTTAGCAGACATTTTGCTCCAATCAAACACTTAGTAGGAACTTGTATGTAGAAGTTTTGATTTAGTTGGCGCGTTAAGACGGCAACATTATTATTTTCTAGTAGATTTTTTAATAAATAGAAACTACTAGAAATTTATTGTATAATTTGTGTTTATTTCTGGGTTACCATGGCAACAACGAAAACAAAAATACGAATTATTAAGACTACTGCGAAGATATTACTCTATTGAGAATATTTTTTACGTTAGCAATAGTTTCTCGTTGCACACAGACATACATTAAATTGTTCTATATAATCTCCTCCATTTCAACTTACTTTCTAAAACTGTAGCACACCCATCAGCAGTATCGAACTTTTTTTTTTATTTCTGTTCTGCAGTCTGTTTAAAAAGTGTCTGTGCACTTAATAACGAAAACGGCATGAAAAAAAAAAGTTTTTCGGCACGCCGTAGACCGTAGCATTATACTAATATATAAATATTATGTTATGCAACTCTCTTTTCACAATATATTTCATCGTAGCAGCCGTTCGTGGTCCGCTTTTCACCGAGGTTTTATCCTCCGTTCTATTTCGCCGCACACACCTACCACCATCAATTTTACTTTTTCTACCTGCCGTTGTACGTAACACAATAATATGTCCGACAACTTTACAATACCGTTCTCAAAATCTCGATATTCTCTCAATTTGCCTTCTTTTTTTTTTTTTTAGTCTTTCCCCACATTATCGCTTTATTGTTTATATTATACTCTCGAGGGGTTACCGCCTTCAATCGAAACGCAATATTTCAACTGGTACCTTCTATTTACACGAGATCAGTATATTGATTTGGGTCTGGAGGTCTCAATGTCTATATATATATATATATATTTATATGTTTACAACTACTAGAAATAGATTGCATTTGAAAATGTCTATTACGCGAAATATTGGTGTTTCACAAAAAAATCTACCGCAATAATGTCAACCTTCAAAAACTTCTACCGTCTATATATCTCGGATAAAACAAAGATTTTTACTGTGTAAGTATATCTGTAGGTCATTTCGTTCAACACAGTTTTTCAGAGAAAAATATAATGTGTACTCTTGAACGATAAATTTTGCTCAAAAAAATCAACCTTTCATTTGATAGCTCGAATAAACATATTATAATGTCCAGCATATGAAAACAACGCGTAAAGATATATCTGGATGTATTTTTATCTGTCGCTTCGGAAAAAGTCACAATGGTAAAAAGGAAAAATACTTTTTCAGCAGTGTTCACCCATAGGTATAGATATTTTATATATATTTTAAAATACATACAAATTCGAGACATTTGGACGAATAGACTTATGAATAGTGAATTTCATACATCACTAAAATGATTTTAAATCATTCCTAAAAGTTATACAAAAACCGATTGCGTAACTTTATTTACAGTAATAAAACTGCAATTGAAATCAAAATATCGAATTCTAAATACAACAATTATATCCGATTTTCTTTCAGAAAGTATGTTTGCTTGAAATTTAGAGGAAGATTTTCGGTTGAAAAATAAAATCGAAAACATGTTACTGTAAATTTGTCAGTTTTTCGTGTATGGTTTTTCCCGATTGTTATGAAAATTGCAAAGGAAAATTAAAAATTGACACACTACGGTGCAGAAACCAGATTTAAAATGCTACGAAAAACCTCACTTTTCGATCGGAGCGAGATTTCTGGTAGAAAATACAGGAAAAAATCAAAAACAAACCACGCATCTTATTAATCGGTTGACTTATTATACAACGGGTACGCGCATAAATAATATAATAGCCACGACACGTTCGTATTATTATGTAGGTAGATGTTTTTTAAGAAAAATCTTTATTATATTCGTACGCGGGAAGTTTATAGTTAGTTTAGTATAATATCGTATTATTTATTAGTTCAATGTTCTCATTTTTCATTTATTATCATTTTTTTTTGAAATGAACTTAAAACACACAGCATTGACCGTTTAATCCGTGTCTAATTATTTAATTATTCGAAAACCTATTATGCTGTTTTTTTTTTTTTTTTTTTTTTAATTATAACGTTTTTCTTACAATATAATAATATAATATACGGGTTTATTAAATTTTAGTAAAATGTTTCAATAGACCTACATATAATACATGTAGTATTAAAATATAGATATATATATATATAAGTATCGTCGTGACAGTTTATATTTAATTAAAACGTGATACGGCTGTCAGTTACACTATACTGCCGTTAAATACCCACGCGTTTAAATGCGATTTCTATATACAGAGTGATCCATTTATCACCAACCGCCGTCTTTCTCGGCGGATTTTAAGTAAAAAAAAAAAAATTGAAAACAATGTTAAAATAAAGTCTCGGCGATTCGACAATGATTAAAAAGAAAAAAAAAAAAACAGAAACACAATCCGTCTAAAATCCTCCGATAAATTAATCACTCCGGTTTCTATATTATAATACATAGGTTTAGACTAGATCGACGATATTTTTAACGCCCTGTAAAATTACACAAAACGTTCTAGACGCAAACGATTAATTGAAATTCTAAAAGTATATTTCTTACAGTTTAAAAAGCGAAAAAAAAACTCGTGTATCCATCCCCGTGGTTATATTAAATAAAAATATTTTTTAATATTATACAATTAATAAAAAGATAACTAATTTACGTTGCATTTTCAAAAATAAACCAGAATATTTTTCTTTGTATGGTCAAGAAAATAAGAAATTTTTTCCCACATAAAACATAGAAAATACGAGGCTAACTAATTACTCAGGTTATTTTTCAACATTAAAATATTGAATTACTACTAAACAATAGAAGAACAATTTCTCATGAATCTTTTACGAAGCAGAAAAAAAATTAACTCTCATAAATTTGAAAACAAATTATAAGCATAGAGACGCATGTTTTTACGGTGTTTGTAAAAACCAGAACTTCAAACGGTTATCGAAATTTTTAGACCATACGCCTGTGATTTTATACCCTTATAAAACGTATTCGCTTATCGAGGGAGGAAATATCTGCAGAGGAAACAGCCGTACATACTCTGTTTCCCAAGTATTGTTACTAGGGTTGCCAATTTTCAAATTATGTGATGTAGAACAATTTGTTCACGTATTATTTGTGATATCACAGGCAGTTTACTAAAAATTGAATGCCAATAGAATTGGTATATTGATACAGGTATGACTTTTACCGAATAATCTTCTACATTTTATTTATACCATTTTTACTCTTTTCACAGCAAATGTTATTAGGATTTATTAGATTTAGAATTTGTGCGGTAAATAGATAGGTACATATTTAAAATATTTATAAATTCCAATGTGCAATATAATATTACCTATATTCTATTAACATTTGATTTTTTCACACAATAATTAAATATGAAATATACTCGGTGTTTAATTGTATTATTGTCTTAAATCGTAGTACTATAGTAGGTATTTGGTATTTAAGTGATAAACGAAAACTTTATAGAATCAAAAGATACAACGGTGAACAGTTAAAAGGTATATTTCCATAGACCTTAAACTATAAACTATTTAAGTCTATGTATTAACATTTGAAGTGTAGGATTGTTCTTCACAATGTTTAAAGCGTTTTTGGATGTGTGAAAACCCCGCTCAACCCTACGTATTGCCACCCGTGTGTACCGAGACGGACAAAATATACCATGCAAATTCGGTTCGAAACGACTAACCCATAACCCAATAAAATTACAATATCGAATACGTGACAACACAAACGATTCGGGCGCAAATAGGCGAGGAGGTTTGGGGAAAATTGGCCCAGACAAATCAATTTTTTCGTCGAGCAATTACGAAGTAGACGTAATCAATATCGATCAATATTGCGGGATGTAAACCCCCTTAAACACATTCGGGCTATTCGCGTGTACGGCCGATAAATTCAATTACCCCATACTAATACGGCGGGTAATCGAATGGGCCGAAGTGACTTATTTGTAATTCCCAAAGGTGAAAATCGGGTTATTTATAATATACTATAAAACATATTATACAATATAGTGGCACTTAAATGTTAAACAGACGCAATTATAACATACACACGGTATTACGATAATATTATTGTGGTAAAGATTATAAGGATTTTCAAAAAAAAAAAAAAAACAACAAATATTATACCGAAATATCCTCCAGTAAAAATACGATATTATACGTATGGGCCGAGTGTTTTATAAATATTTGAGTAGGTACTTTTACCTAATATACACTGACAAGGATTTAGAATACTTATATTGAGACGTGAACGCACAATAATAATAATAATAATAATAAGACGTATAACGACGTCATCCCAGAGGCCATATTATAATATTATTATTATTCTAAAAGTAATGAGCCGAATTCTCACACTAACGCATACTGCAGTCAAGTTTTTTTTTTTATTTTTTTTTTTTTGTTTGTAAGCCTGCACCGATTACCGAGATAGTAAGTTATGCCGGTACGGCTACTACTCTAACTCCAACTACTCTAATATAGTATTTTAGTACACGTTTTTGTTTCGTACATCGGAATCTATAATAATAATATCGATCGAGCGTATTATAATGTAGGCGGTGAAAACGAAATGTCACGGCATACAATTGAGGTTTTCTCGAGGAGACAATGACAGATATTACGTATTACCGGTCTGTATATTATGATTTCAAAAAATAATACACGATGACGCGTTCTATACTCGATGGGTATTTCAATATAATCACGCATTAAGAGAAAAGGTCCCGATTTCCGTCCCGTATTAGTTTTCAACGCGAATCGCTATGGTGACGTGGTCTGTGCGGGAATCGGAACCAACCGGTTTCCGAAAACCCTTAACATATTGGAAACGGGATAAAATACTTGAAATAATCGCAACCCCGGAATCACGAACCAGAAACGAAAATGCAGTGGTTTTGTAATTAAAACTTTAAAAGTTCATTACGAAAGTAAAATTAATTTAAACGTTTCATAAGCGTAACGGCAAGTCTACCGCAATTTTAGAAAGTTTCTTCCTGCTTTCGCACAGGAAAATTATCAGAGTAACGTCTATAGAAGTTTTCCTGTGACACCATAAGAATAAATTGCCACTGGAGTACGACAAAATTAATAACTTTGTTTTCTGTCAATTCCTAGAATTCGTCCCATGTACGATTCATCCATTTTTTCCATGTCCAAATCAAACACCTGATCCCTACTGTTCCAAAGAAGTAAATGTGCTATACTGTTATTAGTGTAAATCAATTACGATACCTACTAAATTAAAATTTCGTTGTTATTATATGTTTTTTCGAAGATATGTTCTATCGTCGTTATCATGATCCAATGAGAAATGATATTTACCAAACTCGTGTCACACATGCGACCGAAATATATTTACATTATGTCACCGGTATAATATTTCGTCAGAGTTAGTACCTATACGATTTTGCCTCAAAATAACAAATAACGTTGAATTGTCGTGCTTATTACTTATAGGCACTGAAATATCAGAGGACGTATTTTTTGAAGTATAGAAAAAAAAAAAAAAGGAAAATTCATAACATATTGTTTCCTAAAGGGATTTAACGTTTAGCCGTTTGTCGTTGGAAACTCGCCCCCCTCCCATAACTATATTCCCATCTTCCCCGACATCGACAGGAGTATTTCTATAGATATAGAGAGATTTAAACATTTTAAACGAATGTTTGCGATCAACTCGAACGAAAGATTTACGTGTGCTCGATGCAAATTAACTTTTAACTTCTCCCTTGATTTATGGGGATGCTGACGGATTCGCGCGTACGTAAGCGGAAAGCTCATTCTTTAGCCGCACAAAACGACGACACGCACCGAATTTCCCTTTTCCGGGGTTGTACGAAATAGAATAGAATAAAAATAAAAAATATACGATAATAAAAATTCGCAGCCCGTATATAAATGCACGTAGGCTAATGTATATAATACATTTTCATATTGCCTTGTCAAAATCTTATGTTTGGTAACGTTTCTACTCGTTCGTCTTTTTATCGATACATTATTATAATACATCATGTATACTTTAAAATATGCCGTATATTTTCGAAAATAATACAATAAATAGTTAACAATTTAAACGAATTACGTAGAAATCAATATTTTCTCATTCAGATTTTGTTTAGATTCTATGCAAACCGCGAAGCTTCTAATTTTTCCTGTCTGCAAACGGCTATTTCCCCAGACATCTCGCTCCGATCGTTAGCATAATTTTCACTGAACACCAATGGCAGCTAACCTCTTCTAGATGTGGTATAATTTTCAAACCATTCTGGATTTTTTTATTTTATAATTAATTAAAATCGGACCCAGCAAAAATAGCCGAAAATTATTATCACTAGATTTTTGTAAAATGCTGTAAAAAAAAAAAAAAATAATAGAGTTTAATGTATTTTTTTTTTTTTTATATAAAACTTTAATGTTTAAATTGTTATGAAAATCGTAAATATTCCGAAATTTCAAAACATTTTTAACTGAAGTCCGCTTATAATCGGTTTTCGTTAGCAATGATTTATTGTCACGTACGGATACGAATTAACTAATCTCCATATTCCCGCCCGCTACAACAATGACACACCAATCAACCAAATTAAAATTATTATACACCAGAACACACACACATAATAATAACACCGAAACAAAATATTACATCGAATAAATGTGTTATACTCGTCTTAGGTGTTTGCAAATAAATTTAGTTAAAAATGGGGGGGGAAACACATTACCGCACTGGAACGACCGTTTAACGACAGTATTTACATTATCGGGGGAAATCAAATATCGATATTTTTTAGACCGTAAAAATCACGAGAGAGTACGGGCACTCAACACCGCGGAAATAACCGTTTTTCGTATCGTATATTATTGCGATAATAACAATAATTTTACAATGTGTTATAAAGCGTTTCGTTTACGACACGTTGTTTACGATGAGCGACGACGACGACGTCCACGTGTATATTATAATATTGAGATTACGACCGTCTATTAAAATTTCAATTTTTTTTTTTCTCTCTTTTGTTTTACTAGCCATAAAACTATTATCGTACGGCGGTAACGGCAACGATATTATGTCCGCATTGCGAAAAGCTCGGCCTACCACGGAATCGTAATTATTTTTTGCGCGCAAGTCCTCGGGTTCGCGTAATCCCGCGGTCGAGTGCTGAACAGGCCGCCGTTTACAGGCGCACGCTAATTTTTGGCGATAATTCCGCGTGTTTTACCGGGTACTGTTTTCAAAACGCGAAACGCGGTAAAACGGTAATTTCGTACCGTCGCAAATCTATAGGCATTTCGCATTGTTACGCTGCGATTTCAAGAGCGCTCCCCGAACCGGTATGCGGATGAATGCGTATTAAAGATCACGCTGTACATTACGCATCACGCTATACCGTACTATACAGATACTGCCACTACAGGAATAACAGAACGGTTTAAAACGTATGGGTTTCGGAGCATTGTTTAATTATACTAAAGGAGACGGTAAATAATTTGATAGCGAAAACCGATTCTGCAGAGCGACACTCGGTAAACTGGGTAACGTTATATTGTTGGTGTTCTTTACCCGTTGTAGTCAAGTCGACACCGAAAAAATCAACGAAAATTTCTTTGAAAAAAAAAAAAAAAAAAACCGTTATATCGTCGTGTTTATAGTTGTCGGTTTTTAAATTTTTTTCGAAAAAATGTATTAAAATCTAAAAGATACGATATGGAAAATCCGGAAAATTTTTACTAGCTATACCGAACGATACGAGTTATCTTATGACTGTTAGACTGTTGAGGATTTCGTGAAATCGTTAAAGCAAAGTATATACCGCTGGCTGACATTACGCATATGTTAAGGTACTGCGTAAAAAGAAAAAAAAAACATTCTATTCGCTAAAAAAGTTTTTTCCGGAGGAAAAAAAAAAACACATTTTAGTTAAACTTATGGTTTTATCGCTATACTTTTGCAATATCTAAAACCATATTTTCTAATAATATTACAGAAATGCACACAATATCGTTATGAAATGAAAATGTTTTGTGATCTCCGCGTGTAACATGCGGCTGAAAATTGGACGGGCAGAAATAATTATAATCATTACGAGTTGATTTATGTCTAGGGGATCGTGACATCCATCGCGAAAACCGAGTTTATTTCGGAATCTAAAGGAATATAAATTTATGAAATCCAAAGAATTTCACTCTGAGAACCGCGTATACGCAGTACTATAATATAACGACGATACGATTAATATTAATTTATATAATAGCGCGGTATTATGGATTCCAGGACAAACGCATTTTTCATAAAAGCGTTTTTTTTTTTTTTGCTTTTATACAAATGCTTTTAGCGAATTCTTTTGGTACGGTAAAGTTTTCGCTAAACAACACTGTACAAGCTATCGTTACACACAATACTAAAATAACGAACAACGAACATTAATAATTGTAACGCAGCGAATTCAATTATCATTCGTTGATTCGACCCTTTTATAAGGTCTCTTTGCCTAGAGAAAACTCGTATACAGAGTATCCTATATGAAGACATCTCGAAAAATATTAAATTTTTTCGGAGTTTTCGATAATTTACGAAACAGACATTCCAGAAACCGTTATTTTTTACCGCCGTTAGTTCGTCGATACATTCCGCTTTTGAGGTTCGGGTGAGGGGGTGAGTAGTGGACCGGTATTTAAATGCTGCGTGCCGCGCTGTCACACAAATGATGCCCCACTACTCTTCCCGTACCCAAACAAAGAAATCAAATGCTCGTCAACCGGTCCACGGAAATTAAAAATGGTTTCACCAAAATGTATTCAAACTAATTCTCTATCTATTTAAAGAATTTTTTTTTATTATTATCTGTAATTTGAAAAACCTACAATAGGGATTCGTTTTAACTTCAAAAAAAAAAAAAAATAAATAAATAAGAGTAACACAAAATAATTATAATTTGCTATTTTAGACCCTATCGTTTCTTAGGTTGTCAAAAAAGAAAAATACTATAAAAAGTTAATATTTCCGAGATATCGTAATGGATATGTTTTCACGGAACACTCTGTATAATGAATGTAAAATCATTCACCATTTATATATACTTAGGTACTTTGCCAACGCGAAGAATATTCTATTATTTAACACGCTTTTGCGTGATTTAATATTCACACGTTTGTATATAATATTCAAAACACACGTTCTTCAAGTTATTTAAATTATTTACTTAGATTTAATAATAATAATAATGATGATCATTGCATACGAGAATAAATGTTTTGCTACGATATTCATCAACGGAAATTACGTGACCTTGTTTGAAAAATCAGTTGTTCGAGTTCTGTAATATATTATTTCCCGTCTACGATAATACCATAGTTCTGCTCGGCGGCAGAATGAACGCGGCCTTTGAGAACAGTGGCGGGTCCAGGAGTGGCAGAAGCCTCGTCTACCCCAGACTATAGACCGTACAAAAGTTTTTACTTCCATAAATAATTAATTGCTCGACGTATATATAAGATTTTCAAGAAAGAAAAGTGGAAAGGAGCGATGAATGTATTGATTGCACGGTAACGTATTTTTTTTCTATTTGTGAACATATTTTCCCCCCAGAAATCTTATTAAATTAATTAATACATAAAGAAGTTATAATTACCGGAGATTACAAATATAAACTATATAACCTTATGTGTCCTATGTGTCTTAACTTCTCAACTTCTACCTACAACAGTGGCCGCACCGATCCACAATATCATCTCTGTTTTATTTTTTTATTTTTGCTTAGTAGTAATTTACTTTAGGAGGCCAACTCCTAAGTTCAATAGTACGAGTTTATACTAAGAATTTAGTAAAAATCGGCGAACAAATTGGAATATATTGGGAAAATTAAGAAATATTGGTGGTTTGATTATAAGTTACTTCCGAGTTACTTTTGGTTCGTTTCGCCGCTGACTACTCTCTCTACACTCATCTGAGAAAAACGTTCATATTTCGAACCATATATTATATAAACGGGTAATGCTCCTCAGTTATTAAAAAAAACGATAAGGGAATTTTATAGCCACAGCTGCTACTTCAGTAACACAAATGTTTAAACCTGATACTGTTCCAAGGAAATAAGTGTCCCAAAAGAAACCATGTCGTTGAAAATGCCAAGTCAATTAAGTTATGTTATATTTTAACGTAAACACTTGTCCCACGTGGCGAGATACACTAAGCCATGCACGATAAAAAAAATTATGGTATTATGATATTTTGGAATGGAACGGTTGACAACAATGAAATATTGTGTCTGATTCTTTATTGGTTTTCTGATGACTCTCCGCTTATAAGCTACAACGAATATTATACTCGTGTTCTTATTCGACACAGGCACTTATATATGGTATCGTATTAATAATATTATAAATGTGAAAGTTTCTGAGGATGTATGGATGTTTGTTATTCTTATACACAAAAACTACTATACGAATTTCGGTGTATTTTAGTATAAAGATAGATGTGATCTCGGCAAACAGAATAGGCTAATTTTTGTCGCGAAAATAAAACTCGAAGAAGATGAAATAAGGGATAAAAGGATTTTAGATATTTTTGGTACGAAAATTAAATTATTTTCGTTGAATTATGGATTGCTATTATAGTAACGTGGATGAAATGAAAACAAATTTAAAACGAAAAATAAAAAAAATAAACAGTAATAAAAATTCCATAACAACTGTAACAATTTAAAATAAAGAATCTATTCAACACTATTCCGGTCTGTTATAGGCAAGAAACCGGATGGGTCACCTCGGTAACACGGATGAAAAAAAACAAAAATCTATGCGCCGTACAGTGTGGGTAAGTAAGAAGTGAAAACACGTAAAACGTCATCTATGAATCTTTGTATATTTTGGTGCAGTGACAATACAACAGAATTATTATGTCCTTATAATTTTAGGGTTTTTACGGTCGGTATACTGTTTAATCTCTGTTCTGTGCAGGTATCTATGATAACACGAATGAAAAAATATACGATATACTAGAACACTTTTCGGACTATTCACTTTCCACCTATAATTTTTTTTTAAATTCAATATACTGATACGGACAAAGCAATACGGAAATAAAGGTAAACAAAATAAGAAATTAACACGGAAAATGCCGGGCGTGGAGCGGCTAGTAATATAAAATGTCTACGAAATATTGTTAGAGCTTAATTGAACGAGACGAATTCATTTTTCGATGTACTTCAGGAGAAGGGAACAAGAAAAGTCCACATCACTATTTCCTTTGTACCTACAGGCTACAATAGACTTGCATTATTTTGTACCACGTTATCGAGCGTTAATTATCGTTTTATTCGAAATTATGAACAAGTCGTTTTTGAGAGAAAAAAAAATAATGTACTCGCCTCGTGGTTATACCGAGCACTTCAATTTGATTTAAAGCGATTAAAATGTGATATTAGAATCGATAATAAACCCGTAAGAAACTTACACATCATATAAACGCGTATTTTTCGTCTTTTTTTTTTTTTTTTTTTTTTTTTTT